GCTCTCTTGAAAATCTTTTCATGTGGAAAACATCGTAAGGAATACATCAGTCCCTGAGTTTTCTTACTGGGAGAAACATGACTGCCCTGAGGTAGTAGCTTCCAGTGCACCAGGCATCAGAAGTTTTAACTCAGGGTATTGATAAATACTCTGTATCCATAAGATCTCATATTTTTCAAAATGACTATGAGCATTGCCTTCAGTGGGACAATTAAAAGCTTTGATTCCTTAGCAAGACCACATGCAGAGGCATGTTCTCTCTGCTCGTTACTAATGCCCTTTGTTCAGTCTGCAAAGGCTGTGTGCAAAACTTTGCCTGGCTGAAGCTTCCAAGCGCCCTTTGGGTTCTAATGCTGACTAGGTAGCTTTTTTTTTTTTTTTGATAGCCGTTTGCCTTTGTCTACTGGTTTGGCATACTTGATAGTAATTGTTTCTTGCTGTTTGGATCAGTGTTCTCATTGGAGCTCAGGCCATTTCTCAAAACATAATAAAGAATAGATCAAATTGATAATGTAGGCTCTGATGTTAAATGTTTTGAGGCTGTCCCCTGTGATGACAACACTGGAATTATTTAATGAAAATTTTGCTTTAGGTTTCTCTGTTGGGACACATACTCATTTAGCAAGAAGGACATCCCACTACTGCAAAGAGGTTTCAGTCCTTGGTTTTTCCGCTTTGTTTTTGATATTGATTCCTGTGAGAGAGAGAAAGACCTTACTTTTCCCATAGCTGAGCTCTCTACAAATGTAGAATCAGCTGTGCCTGTATCTATGGAAGGCAGTAACTGCAAGCTGAAAGGAAATCTTTTACTAAAGACAAGTTTAGTCCTCTATTTCGGGATCACGTTGCTGGGACACCTTATAGACAGCATAGACACAGGCATTGCAGGTTTGGTTAGCTGTTGCACGCTGCCTGAACACACGTATTACTGAGACGGCAGTATGGTTTACTTTGGATGTGCCAGTTTCTTTTTTCCCTATGGTGGACAGACTTCTGCTTATAGCACGAAATGTTATCTTCTTTTGCTGGGACTATGTACTGGCTGCCACAGAGTTCATTTTCTTCATAGCAGCCCACATGGTGCTGTGTTTTGGATTTGTGACTAAAACAGTGTTGAAAACACACCTGTGTTTTGGCTGACACTGTGCAAGTGCTGCTCAGCAACAGGGCTTTCTTTTTGTCCCCACACCCCAGGGAGTGCAGGAGGGTGGGAATGAATGCAGCAGGGACAACTGGCCTGAGTTGACCAGACGGATGTTCTGTACCATATAACATCTCACTCAGCAGTAAAAACTTTGGGGGTGGAGGGGTTGGTCTTGCAGGTAGTCCTTGCTCCGAGACTGCCTAGTCATTGGTCTCTTTGTGGGAGGTGGGGAGTGAGTGGGCAACTGGGTGGGTGCTTAGTTGCTGGCTGGTGTCAACCTGCCACAGACTATTAAAATTCCTGTATCCAAGGTCGGTGTCTTGCATCTTTCACTGCCAGCTGAGCATTTGCAGGTGTCCCTGAAGTGAGGACAGAGCATCAGATTGGCTTTGGAAAGAACACATGTTATGAAAGTAAGGAAGAATAGTCTATGTGTAGTCGGAACTGCAGAAAACTAGGATTGAGTTTACCATAATAAAGGTGTTTGAGAGAGGTGTGATTTGAAGTTGGGAAAAAGAAAAAGATTTTTTGTGTTCTTAAAAGGAGCTCATAGAAAAAATATTGAGAAGTATGATAATAAGCTATCCTCATAATGTGTGTTTTTAGCAACTCAGAGAAATTCATAGGTGATTTAATTATATTGTTTTCAGGTGAAAAAAATTAGAGAGGCAACATAAAAATTAACAAGTTTTTTATAGCAGCTGGAATTATTTACTAGCCGTTTTATATCCCATGAAGGACCTTCTGTTCTGCTGTAATTAAAGAAGTCATTATGCTTCCAGCTACCAAAACCAAGGAGATAATCAGTTTACATATGCACACAAGTACTAGTTAGCATGCCTTCTTTCAGACTAGAGATGTCTACAGTGAAGTACTAGTTGTGAAATTATAGTTGAAGGGAGAGAATCCAGGGAGCACCCTTCAGGAAAGACAGGGTTTGACGTAGGACAGAAAATACAGAATTCAGAAACAAAATTACTTATTACTACCATATGTTCACAACTATGATATGTATTTTGATTGTTCTGAACATCTTTAAAATTAGTGTTCTATAAAGGACTGCCTTCAGATAACCTGTAATTTTATCTGTATTGCAGTTTATTCCTGGGAATATGGCATATCTTATTAGTCATTCTCATAGAATTATAGAATTGGGATTGAAAGGGAGATTGAAGACTCTGTAGTCCAAGTGCTTTGCTCAAAGTGGATTCAACTAGAGAGTATTACTCAGGGCTGTGTCCAGTCTGGTTTGGAATATCTCCAAGGCTGGTGATGCTGCAGCGTCTCTGGGCAATTTGTTCCAGTGGTTCACCACCATCACAGTATGTTAAAATGGAATTTCTTGTGTTTCAATGGGTGCCCATTGCCTCTCGTCCTTTCACTGGATATCGCTGAGAAGAGTCTGGCTACATCATTAAACTCTCTTGTCAGGTATTTGTACACATTGGGGAGATCCCAGGCTGAGCAGTCCCACCTCTCTCAGCTTCTTTCCCCATGTCAGGTGGTCCAAGCCCTTAATCATCTTTGTGGCCTTCTGCTGGACCTGCTCCAGTGTGTCCATGTCATGCTTTTACTGGAGAGCCCAGAATTGGACCCAGCACTCCAGGTATGACCTCACCAGTACTGATAGAGGGAAAAGGTCGCCTCTCTCACATGAACTTCTGTCAGTGCTCTTCCCTAAACAGCCCAGGATGCTGTTGGCCTTCAAGGGTGTGTTGCTGTCTCACGTTCAACCCCTTGTCCACCAGGACCCACAGGTCCTTCCTTGTCTGCAGAGCTGCTTTCTAACTGGTCAGTCCCCAGACTGTATTGGGGTTAGTCCTTCCTAGGTACAAGACCTTGCATAAAAGCGTATCTTCCAATTTTCAGCAACATTTAGGTTGGTAATTGTGTTTTCTTCTTTAAAAACAAAATTTTAAAATATATCTCAAAAGGATACGCTTCGATTTCATTGTATTGTGTCTGTCAAGGTTTTATACCTTTTCATAAGCATGCACTCCTTATAGATAGGATATTGAGCTGGGTGGTCTGATCCAATTCTTATGTTCCAAATGCAATTAAAAGCAAACAAAAAAGAAAAGCTCCACAGCTATATTCAAGCATGCTCACAAATATACACACTATAAAATGTGATTTTATTTATTTATTTATTTATTTTTTAGTTTCAAACTTTAGTCTATATATTTGTGACTTGGAAGGTAAAGCAATGGAATATTACTTTTAACCAAATATCTGTGCTTCAGTGATGGCATTTTTAACTGGATTTTTCCATGTAGATGAAAATTTCATTTGGATGCCCCAGGAGAGACTGCTCATATTAGATCTCTTCTATTTTGTAATTTATCCTACCACTGTCCCTTCTACCTAATTTTGTTTGCTTATGGTTTGTTTTAATTTTTTGCTCTGCCTTGTGTACCAAAAGGGATGTTATGAGCATTCTCAGCCATCAGTCTTCTCCCGAGTGGTTTTTAACTACTGGAAACGGGTTCTTTGCCATTTAAAGTCATCACACTTAACAGAAGAAATGATCCTGCTTCATGATGGTTTCAGTGCTGGTTTTGTGGATTTTTCTTCTATATAATAATAAAATTGTAGTTGAACTGTCTTTTCTTCTTCTGTGACTTAGAAAAGTACTGAGAACAAGCCAATGTCAGGAAATAGTTAACGTAAAATAAATAAAACTCCAACAGGACTGAAAATGAATGAATCAAGTTATAATAACAAAGCAACAGGGAAAAAAAAAAAAGAAAAAGACATATTATTGTCTTGACTATTTAATCTTTAGCCACAGTTGTGTGAATTTGCAGGTGTTAAATTATCCAGAGAATGGCTTGCGAATTTTTGCTATTGTCAGTAGCAGCATATTGGGAATTATATGGAAGAAAATAAGCATTGACTAACAGACTACAAATTTCAAACAATATGTATTCTCTAGTTCATATCAAGTCTTATGTGAATGCAAAATATAATGCTGATCAGACTTAAATTATGTTCTGTTTTATGACTGTGATAAAACAGAAAATAAAAATAGCAACAAGAATGTTTAGTCATATTATTTTCCATGAACAGGAAGCATTCAATGAAATTATTCTGTTGCTGTGTTAGTGAATAGATTAGTTTTTTTAAAAAAAGTCATATGATTTGGATTGCCCCATGTCAGATTTACATGAAATATATTGGAGTACTTTCACTGTTAATTCGTCCTGAAGTTATAAAAGAAAATTGTATATAATGTGCTGCCATGTGCTCTTGTTTATTAATTTCATTTACCATTGTTTTGTATTTCTCTAAAATAATAAAAAAAACCACCACAGCAGATTTGTTGGTTTTGGTACATGTTAAATCTTCTATTGCTTTTGAACTGTGTTAAATTTGATTATACAGAAGTGCTTAAAAGCCTGTTTTCTAAAGGAACGATGTATTTTTATCTCCCTCCCTTCCCCCCACTTCAGAAAACCTGAATCTGAGTTGTCTTACCAGCTTATTACTATATAATTTCTTCACATTTCACATGAAGTGTCTTAAGTCTGTGTCACTTTTGTTATTCTGTGATACAAGCTCAAAAGCAGACTGTGCTGACCAGTGAATATTTTCTCTGGTTGTTCAGTGCACACGAAAAATCTATTGGGAACCATTCCCTGTTTGTGCAAGGCTGTGCCACTTGAGTGGCTGAAAAGGATATAAAAGAGTGTTCCTGACCTGGTTGTGTCTAGGTATTTTTCATTTCAAGGTGGTGTGTTTTGGAGTTTTTTTTTCCCCCCGATTTTGAGATCTCATAAACATGATAGCTTTTGTCTTACTCGGCATTACTGGATTCCTGACTGATGTGCTATCATTTCAATGTGTCCTTCTGCAGGTTGTTAAATGTGCTATGCTGCGAGCTCAATACACTTTTACTCCTGGAGACTCAGTATAAAGTGTCACAAGTTTTACTAACTGCTCAGGAGGAAAATGTCATAGAAACTTCAGAAGGACCAGGGTAAGAAGTGACTGATGTAAAGTTACTTTTAACTATCAAACTTTTCTCCTGAGAAAAAATATATGAACACCTTAGTGGTTTAAGACATAGAAATGCTCTCACTGAAGTTGGCTTCTAATGTGCGTAAGATTACTTGTATGCAGGTTTGTAATCAATCTTAAATTATGAAAAGATACAGCAGTCTTCTGCTTTTTCCCATGGCCACCTCAAAAGTGTAAGAAATAAAAAATCAAATATTTTTATCATTTTTATTTGTATTAATCTTAAGTTATTTCTGAAAAAAAAAAAGAGTGCACTTTGTGGATGTAAATATGCCTTTTTGTTTTGTATAGTTATTTTATGTTATGGATATAATATCAGATTAAGGTATTGTTTTATGTTTATGTTTTGTTCTATTTTTTAATTCGTTTATAGCTTAGTTGACTCTCCAACTTCTATGACTTTCTATTGCTGACTTCTAAATAAAATTGCACAATGCATCCTTTCAAAAGAAAAAGTGTATTTTTGGGGACAGAAGTGGACAGTCATTTAGTCACAGACATTTCTTTATCTCAGCATCCTGAATTTTAAGAACTCTCCTCTTACCGTTTGCTACCTGGGACCAGTACAGAGTTTAAATCAAGCAGTATGGGTGAAATCTCAGCAGATACAGATGATTGCTATTTACCATTTGAGGATGAAACCTACTATTTCATTATTAAGGAAAAAGTTGTAAGAAACTTGTTGTATAAAAACTGATTTTTATTCCTTTAAAAAATTTTGTACCTTGGGCTACACGGTTACTTCAGACAGCAAGTTGGCTGTGTGTTAAGTTGTGAACAACGCTGCTGATTTGTGACAGCAGAAATTTGCTGCTAGGCCAAATAAGGAGCAAATTTTGATGGTCCATTAGCTGTCTGTGCCCTAATTACTGAGCATGTGGGCATAACAAAGGCTGTAAAGATTTCTACTTTGTCCAGTAATTGCTCAGATGTGTCCAGTCACCAGTAGGTAGGGAAGTACGAAGTTAGGATAATGCTTGCAGACATCTCAAAATACTTAGTTTCTGGTGTATTTCTTTATGCCTATGTGTTTACCAGGTTGTGTTTTAACTTCAGTATGACTCTCGAGGTATTCTTGCTCATAAAGTTTTCTGAATTAAACAGTAAATAAATCAAAGTGGTTCTGATTTTTTGAATTTTTTGGGGTTTGTTTGTTTGTTTTCCCCAGAGATTTTATAATTGATGGTCTTTCAGTGGAGAGAAACCATGTTCTTGTAAGGATAAATCTAATTGGAGGACCACAGGAAAGGATTTTACCCTTGAGAGTGCTAGATAAGGTTAGAATCTAAAGTTTAACAGTTTCTCTTTCCATAACTCCTGTTTTCATTACTTGAATAGTTTTGCTGATAATTCAGCATGTGGAAAATTATTTAACATTAAGAAATACCAGGGCACCTTTAGCTTTATAAAGGGCTAAAATTTTTAAGAAGCAATACTTGGAAAAAATACGTTGTTCCCACTATCTGGGGATTGGTATGTGTGTAGGACGTATCATGTTCAGATGAAATGTTTATATTGCTCAATCTTAATGTTACTTTTACTACTGTAAAAGTGAATGCAATTTGTATTTTTTTTTACTTTTATATTTCTGTGTTTTCTTTATTAGCTTTCCGTTTCTTGCATCTTCCTTTTACTTGATATTTTTTCCATGCTTGGTTTTTCATCTACAGTACCTAATACCTTGAGTTTTCATTAACGTTCTAACAATACATTAGTGTTTGTAAGCAGCTCCTTTAAATGTTCTGCTTCTCACTGGCTGTCAGTCTCATAAAGATGAAATGCAAATTACTATTGGCAAAGCAAAGACAGTTACATCAATGTATAAAATTGGAAATACAGTTTTGTGTGGATTCTTTTGTTTTGTTTTGGTTTTTTTTAATAAAAACTGCATTTTTTTTTTTTAAATTATTTTTCACTTATGGGATATCTCATTGCAAATGGTAGGATCAAGCATGATTGTGGTGCATGGGCAATAATTCTAGGAATTTTACCTGTGTGTTAATTGAGCAAATGCTATTAATTTTTTGCATAAATTAATTTCTTTCTGGTCCTGTTTCTAGGGCAGTGATCCATATCCTTGGCCAATGTTTTCGTCATTCCCTTTGCCAAAGTGCTATCTGGCAGAAGTTCCTAGGAAAGCCGAATGCAGGCAAGGTAGATACAAAGCATGCAAGCAGTACGGATGTCAAAACAAGCATCTCTGTGAAATTTTTTAATCTCTTTCTCCCCCTCCCCGCCCCCCATTCCCCCAGATTATAATCTCATAGATACTTAAGGATTTTTTTATTGTTCACTGCATTTGTAGCTAAATAAGTTTGTTTGGTTTTGCTTGTCTGGCTTTGTGCAACTGTCAATCTGCAAAGCTCTGTTTAGTAATCTAATTCTTATGCAAACTTCAAGATTAACCTTTTGGCTCGTCTCAGGTGGGTGACTCATGAGATACATTTATATCATCTCTCTAGTAACTGAAGCAAGACAGTATGGTTATGCTACGCATTTTTTGTACACTATTTTCATGATTCAGATCCCTGTGTTTACAAAGCTTGGTGGTGTGTGAAATAGACAGCGTTTAGGATAGTTGGTTTACACATCGAACATCAATTTGGAATGTGGGCAGGCTGAAGAATCCTTTGAAGAGCTATCTAGGCAAAGCAGTTTAATTCGTACAGAGAAAGAGTTTTAAGGTTTTAATTTGCACAGACAATGCAAAAGAATCTGATGAACGGCTTATAGTAAATAAAGCATTCTTTGTATTTGTTCTTGTTTACTGTATCCTTGAGGTGTACTTATTCAAAATTATTTGTGAATTTCCTTAGCAGTTACAGATTTTCAGAAGTGGTAGAAATTCTACATTAACTGTAGAATACAAAATAGTCTGTTTATAAATATCTAGAAAAAAAATTAAAAAAGGTGATTCCCTTCTCTCACAAGAGGAAAGACCATGTAGTTATAAAAGAAGGGAGTTTTCTGTGTCTTAACTTTAATAATACTGTTCCAGGCTTCCCAAGGCAACTTTCATAAGACAACAATCAACTCACCTTAGAGTGGGGGTGCCCAATTGTTTTAAATACATCTTCAAGGAGGCAGGTATTGTTCTTTTGGATTGGAAAAGCATATTTTATTGTTTCCCACAGAACCAATCTGTTCTCTTGTTCAGAGCAAGTCTGTCACTCATCATTAACTGGTGGGATAATGGCATAGAGATTGTAGTTGTCACTTTTGTGGATGACAACCAGCTAGGAAGGCTTGGGTAAAAATTTTGACTAACAGTAAGTTTGCTGAAATGAGGTTTCAAAGGTTTGCAAATGTGTTTGATGAAATACTGAAATATTTTAATTTGAAATGGCATTTTTGATATTAAAGGTAACTGAAAAAGGAACAGAACATTTAGTTTCCTAGTCAAACAAAATATTTTGTGTTTGCTATTTGAAAAAGAAGGAAAACAAAACATTGAAAGTGTTCTATTTCAGTTCTCATTAAAAAAAAAAAATAATTGATTTTTCCATGAAACTGTGAATACCTGATTTGCCAGACTGAAGCTTTCAGGATGTGTAAGTTATTTTGAAAGAAAGTATCAGAATAAATAGATCAAAAATGAAAATAATGAAATTCATAAGTTGCTATTTCCAGTGCTTGAAAAAAAAAAAAGAAACGAAGAGCATGAGTAGAAGATGGGGAATAGCTGAACTGATCTTTGGGTAAATTTACACAAGACAGAAGATGATCTCTGTCAGTCGATCTGAACTGTATTCTTCAGCACGACACTATGGCAGCGATAGGAGTGCTCTTTCACAAGAGAGATTAAAATTATGGTTATTAGACAGATCTTTGGGTAAATTAACACAAGACAGAAGATGATCTCTGTCAGTCGAAGGTGGCGAGTCCTTGGGTGCTGTGTACCTCTAGCATGGGCACTGCAGTCTGAGGAAAATGGATACATTTGAGGGAGTCTAGAGCGCAGCTACAGGTCCTGACTTTGAAATGTGGCGCATGAGGATAGATTGACATAATTGGAACTGGCCGATGCTGAAATGACAGAGGTCATGCAAGTCTCTTAGCATGTTAAAGGCAGTTATGAGGGCAGATTGTTTGTGTCGATGTCCCTGTGCAGAATAAGGAATGGTTGGCTTACTTGACAATAAAGATTTGTTGCAAATTAGTAAATAAACATTCAAGTAGTATACATCTGGAAGTTGTGAAATCATCATTGGAGGTTTTAAGAACTACTTCTTTGTTGTTGTGAATATTCAGAACTCATGTTGTGTGTTACACAACTTGCTCTGACATTTTAAAAAGAGTTTAGACAAATACTTCAGTGCAAGGAGGTGAACTGGGTTCACACACACTTCTGAATGGCAACAGTTCTGCAGCCATGCACTTTTACGTCGTATGAGTGGGAATGCCTGACAGTTTTGTTGTATCTGACATCAAGGATTGAAGGCCAGCACAATGTTTCTGTGATTGCCTGAAGCTGTCTCTGTTCAGATTTCATGCTGCGATGTTTCATTATGTAACCTGTGCAGTGTCATTCCTGTCCTCTCTTTGGGGTGTTTCTATTACATGAATAATTAAGAAAACTAGATCGTTAGTACTAGTTAAAGAGCGTACTGTTTCTTTGGCTGAAAAGGCTGTAGCTGTAGGTTTTATTCTGTCTGTCCTGTCCTCTTATTTACTTCCTTTCTTTTTACCCAGGTGACATGGGCACCTGAAGAGAAGCTTACCTTTTCTTTCTTCTTTAAAAATTGGTTGCGTGTCCATTATGTAACTGTGATGTCATCTGTGAAAACATAACCTGAGTTGATTTTTTTTTTTTTTTTTTTTTTTTTTAAATGTATCAAAAGAACAGATACTGGAGCTGGCTGCGAGGGAGGGAAGAAAAAAGGGGTTACAGATATGCACTTGGTTACGGTATTGCTCTCTTTAACCATGTTTCTTTTCTGACCTCCTGTCAGGTGGAGTTGAAGGACAGATGCAATAACAGAACCTTTTTTTCCTAGGGGTGTCTCTCAACTAATGGAAGTTGCCTTTCTGAGTGCAAGCTGAAATCACTCACTGAATATTTTGGAACTAGTGTGGCTGTTTCTCTCTGACAAGATTATGTACTACTGAGGTCAGGGAACAGGAAACTTCATTTTCACAGCCGTAGACCTCATGTGACTGTATTTAGTATAATGGAAACCATAGATAAAGTAGCATATGAGGGGTAGTCACTGAAAATGGCTTGTTCACACTGTTTTCTACGAAGAAAAACCAAGAAATAGTTTTTTTCTTCCCTCTCTAAATTCTTTTGTAGGACAGTGGTAAACATGCAGCACTGGCACCTTTTTGGTTGTTCAATTTGAGGGGAAAGGGAGGAGGACTAATTAGCTGTAAGAAAAAGCAGAACAGTGCTGACTCTGCAGTGTCTGGAATGTGTTTCCCAGCACCAAGGCCTTAAGACTGCATCTTAGAGAATTTTTTTTTTAACACTCTTGCTGTTATTCAGTGCTGATGTAGTGCTTACAAACAGTAGCAACTGGATATTTTGCCTTGCTGGATCAAAAATGCGGCTACTGTAAATTATGCTGGTAAAATTAGTAATTACATTGGAGTAGTGGAATAATTCCTCCATTTCATGATGACCCTTTGAATGGGTAGACTCACCCAAAAAGTATATTTGTGTTTGAGGAAAATCTAGTGCATCCCTCTTTACAAATACCTGCCTTGGTTTTGCAGGTGTTAGGCAATTGCCTGTGTGGTATATGTGTCTGTAGGAAAGGATATATGGAGAAATAAACCTGCTGGGTTGTGTATTAATATGCATTAATTATTTCAGCTGGTATTTAGAGTTGGAAAACTACTGGATAGCACTATATTAATGGTTCACTTCTGTCAAAGATAATTTATAGTGAAGCTTCAAATGATTTATGTGGATCATTATTTACATGTGGAAATTAATTATGCCGTTTCCACCTGTTTACACTGCAGCAAGATACCCTGTTGCTTTTCTTTTGTCTTAATTGTTCAATTATTATTTCAGTAGCATAATTTGAGGAAAAACTATTAAGTGGTTTTCAAAGAGTGATATAGTCCTTTGTTATTCAGGATACAACTATTAGAAAGAATTATTTTTTTACTTGTAATATGAACTACACTGTAGCAATTGAAAATTAAACTTTTTAGAACTACATTAAACGGTCATATTCACTCTTCTATTTGCATAGATTTGTTTTCCTTTTTTTCCTCCTAACTCTGGAGTTGTGACAGTGATGAGTGTGACTGAGGGATTGTGTCCATAATTGTCCCACAATGACGCATTCAGTGCTTAGCCTTTCCGTTTACATAGGCACCGCATCATTCATCAGTCTTAATATCCTCCTGACTTGTACAGTCCAGAATTACTACCAAAAAAATCTTCTGTGATAATGTTTTTAAAGTCTTTTGATGTTTTATCTCAGCCACTGTTCTGAGTTCTTTGCTTTATACTTGAATGGGAGTGTGCTGCCATGTTTCTGTTCTGTGGGGTTTTTATTGTTTTGATTTTTATTCAGATTTCTTTTCAGCCATGGTTTTTTTAGCTATCTGCCTGAAACTCTTTTTTTAAATTCTTTTTTAACTTTCTCTAGCAAAGAACCAGCTATATTACCTTTCCTGTTATCCCTTATAATTTCATATAAATGTCTTCATCACCTGCACTTCTTTGACTTGTACTGTTTTTTATTTTTGGCTCAGTATTAATGTATGAGCCCGTTGTCTTCCACTCTTGAAAGTCCACTCAATTAATGAAGGATGAAATAGAAGTACGTGGACAGGTCTATCAGAAATGTAAATGGGCTTTCCTGAAATATATAACCTTCAATGGATTTGTTTTCATGCAGTAGTCAAATATAATATGGTCAGGTTATTAATTTTCTCTAAATTTAATTTTTGAGTAAGATACACATGGATTTACAGATCTCAGTTTCCTAGTGACAGAAAAACACTTTTATCGCAAAAAACAATCAGATGAGGAAGGCCTTGTGGCGTTCCTGATGTTTTCTAAAATATTTATGAATTTTCCTAGGTCTTACCCACTTTAGACACAAAAGCTAGCTAAAGAATTATTTGAAGAATTATAAAGCATCATCTTTTAGGCAATGAGATCATTTGAAACTTGCAGAAAGTTATGGTGTGGT